TTACGTACCGTAGAACGTTTCAGTGTACCGAGAGGGCCTAGTGTTTCGGATTTAATTCAACAACGAACGACCATCCGTCCGGAATTCGTGATTTTTAAAAATTAATTTCGGAATTCGTTCGTAACAAAAGGATTTCCTTTTTTTTCTTTCGTTATTGTTATAGAAATAACACGGGGCGAAGCGCATACTTCAAACGTATCGAATTTCGCTTGGTATAAGAATGAAAAAATTCCAGCCAAAGTCAACGGACGCCTCGAATTTCCAAATTTTCCACCCCAAAAACAAAAATAAAAAAAAAACAAAAAAAAAAAAAAAAAAAAAAAAAAGATTCCTCTCTCAGTGGTAATTAAAAAGAAAGTTTTACTTCAATCTCGGCATTGAACGAAAGAGAGGGTGGGAGAAAAAAGGCCGGGGAGCTAAGCGTGGCACGTTCCCTGTAATTATTCATGAATTTGCCCAGGTANTTGAGAAACTTTTCCGGGGGGTGGAAGAAAAAAATTTTCCACCGGACACGTATCCCGCCGCTGGTGGTTCTGCCAAAAAAAAAAAAAAAAAAAAACAAAAAAAAAAAAACTAAAATTGCAAAAACAAGTCTCCTCCATAATAACTCACTGGCCAAAACTCGAAGCGCAGCTTCCAACAAAGGATGTACGCAGGATATCCGCGCGCTTGTAAATAAAAATAAAATTAATCTCCCCACTCGCGGGCCATTTGCATGAAAAGCGGTTTTATCTCTGCCCCGATAAAATATTCAAACCGACGAGCACCCGCGAACTGCTGCCGCGGCAACTGTGCAGCTACTCTCTATATAAACGAGGGGCAGGGGGGGCAAGAGTAGTAATAAAATAAAAAACGCATACAGCCGTGAAACAAAAAAAAAAAAAAAAAGCATCGCCTACGCGTGTAGGTACACGCATTTTTGCGGCGTGTAGCGGGTGTGCGATGCAAATATCCGGCTGGAAGAGGTCGTTTGTCACGCGATGTTTCGAGTGAGCTCGGCACGTCGCGTAAACGAAAAATTGACCAGCCAAAAAGCGATAAGGTGTATACGCGTTCAATGGCTCCCTCCGATCATACGTGCACGTATTGGGATGTAATATGGGCCACTGGAGGGGATCGGTTTAGAAAAACGCACAGGCCTCATTGTCATCAAAATACGGAGGAAAAATAGCCTCCGAGTCCTATGCGTTGACTCTTCTACGCCATGTTGAATTTCTTATCCCCTCCAGTGGCCCATATCACATCCCATATTGGGCCGACGAAAATCATAAATTGTCGCCCTACCCACACTCGGTCCCCTCGTATCGCAGAAGTGCTGCTCTTTGATAAATCTCCGCGCTTTTACCAATTATCGTTTAAAAAACGTCCGCACTATGAACCTCGACAACGGATTGTACGGACAGAAAAAAAGCCTCCGTTGAATACTCTATTGTCCATTGGACTCGTGAATTAACGCTGCAAAAAAAAAAAAAAAAAGTAACGATCGAAGCGTGAGAAATTTCCGATAAAAAACCAAAGGCTTCTTTTTTTTTGTCGCTTTGAAAACATACGTACGTACACGTCCCCGGGACGCAATCTAGCACAAAGAACCCCCGTGTACGGGGAACCGAGGGGATTGAAAGGAGAAAATACCGCCTGGAGAGCACGGGGTAGGTTGTTCGAGGAAAAATATTGTGACGGATGTAAATTACAAAGCCGAGCGCGACTTTGCCCGAGATTTTCAATAAGACGGAATCTCTCGCTCGACCTGGTTCGCTTATACCTCGCTAGAGGAGGAAAATCGCGCGAGACGCCGAGAGAAAAGTTTTGAAAGCCCCCGGACAGCTCGGCTTAGTCAGCTCCTGTACGTACAGGATCGGGATGTCCTTTCTTTTTCGCGTTTTCCCCCCCCCCCAACCGTATATACATATATAGGTAATCTCGATGCGTCTCCCTTGAGGGGGGTGGTTTTTTTTCCCCCGGTCATCGTTGTAAATATTTGCTCGACGGGTCTTATCAAAATCCGCGGCCTGACCGCTAAAGTCGCGAAAGAGAGGAAAATAGCACGAGAACGGCGCGTTTCTTGAGAACAAATACTCGTAACGAGGAGAGTTAATGCGCGTTAGAAAAATGTTTTTTCGAACCGCGGGTAAAAAATAGAGCTTGAGGGTGGAGGGGGAAAAAAAAGGGAGGCACACCGGTAGCGATAACAGAATCGAATGTCGATACGTCAACATGCCACGCGTGATTACACAGTCCCGCGCATTACCCGACATTCTTTCGCTCTTCTCTTGGTGCTTTTCCGCGAGAAATTTTTTCCTTTTTTCATTTTTTTTTTTTTCTTTAATCTCATCGCAGTTGGAGTGACGAGGCGAGAGAGTATCGCTCGCGACTTTTATTACTTCGCTCCTCCACTCATCTCCGGAGGTCTATTTAATTTTTCTCGAGCACCGGATAAACTGCATTTTTCATCCCACGCAGGAGAATACTGACAGCCAACCCTTTGACCCATTGTATCCCGGAATCGTCGGTCTTAATTGTCCCGTAATGGAATACATTTGCATCTAAAAGCTAAAGGAATCTTATTTACATATAAATATCAGGTATCTATACATATCAAATTAATCACCTTGACGAAGTCAATTTGCAAATAAATTTGAACGTGCGATGATAACATCGTTAAAAACGCTGATGCACCAGAAAGGAGCGCCTTAACTTTTAACAAGAATTACTTTGCAGTAATACCTGATGCGCGGTGTACACAGAGGGGATAATGGAGGAAAGGAGGGCAACCGTCGGCACTTGCATTGATGTAATTTCTGCCTGCTCCCAACGTTTATTTAATTCAATAGAAGAGCGCAGAGGCGGAGAGCCGAGGCGCGGCGCAATATATATATAAGTAAGGGAATTAGAAGGCGAAGAGAAGCGGCGAAGGGGAGGCGCTTCGTTTGCGTCCGATTGAGCGTGGAAAATCCGATAGCGGCCAGACACTGGAATTTCGCTGTTTATGTACCAGCCAATGTAATTTTTTTTTTTTTTTTTTCTTTTTATCAATCACTAGAACTAATATCGCTTCTATACACGGCGTGGAGTTAAGGAGCTTCTCGTACCTTAGCGAGCCTTTTTCTCCCCAAAGGAGGAAAAAAAAAAAAAAAACTATTACCAGTGGGGCTTCGATAGCCGACCTGGACTTTCATAGGCAGCAAATCAAATTTCAGAGGGCCGAGAAGGAGAGCTCCCTCGCGCTCGGGAGGAATTACGGTGAAATTTAATTGTCGGGTCCGTGCATACACTGCCCCGCTGCTGTGGTGCGAGTTTCTTTTTTTTTTTTTTTTTTTTTCTTCATTAGTTCGACGTTCCGTGTGTGTATATATGTATATTCACGGACCGCAGCTGCGCGGCCGTGCGTTCTTATTTAATTTTTTTCCTTCGCGCCAATTGGTTCTTGGGTACAGAGTCGATGGGAATCGTGCGAAATTGATCGTGAACAATTGCCAAATAATCGAATTACACCATAGCAAACGGCATCGCGTCCATGCCGAGGATTCGATTTGCAATAACGATTCGTAGGAATCAAGGGTGAAACATTGCTTTTTCCACGAAAATATGGAAGTAAAAGTTGTTATCGCTCGATCGAATACATAAACCCGGGGTAATGGAAAATATTTCAGTACCAGCACGCGCTTTGTGGTAAATACTCGTGTCGGATGAGAGAAGAGAGGGAAAAAAAAAAGAAGAAATTTCCACCACTGCGAAGCATCGGGAAAAAGCTCACGCGCGCGATATTGGTGAAAATCGCGGCCGATAGAGTGAAAATCAAACTTTGAGAATTAAGCGATTCAAGGAAAATGTTGGAAAAGTTTCGCCAACTTCGCTCCCCTACCCCTCGGGGAAGATCTTGTGATTTCGAATTTCAACGAGTTTCAGCGAGAGGGAATTTTCGAGGAAAAAATACAAGTATCGGCAAAGACAATCTTTTTGCAAGGCTCCGATATCGCGCGATGTAATTGCATAGAGCCCGAAAAAGCTTAAAAGGCTTCGATGCTGCCAAGTGTTTTTCGCGCCTCGAGTGGTCGATCAAGCGTAGCGTCCGAGCGTATTACTGTACACCTACCACCGTAAAATGGTGTTTTTCATTAATTTACCCAAGTACGGAAAGAACAAAAAAAAAAAAGTTACTCTCGCGTACCTACACCCGATAACGTTATTTCCATCCCTCCACGTTTCTCCCCGTGCGATCTATATTGTTATATCACGGCTACAAGCGCCCGGTGCAAGGTATAGATGTACGCTTGCGCGATGCGGATGAATTATAATTTTTTCATTAAAGTCGAAACTTTTTAAACTCCGCACGCTTCCCTCGCGAATATATACCATTAAAAAAAAGCTCCCCGGTTTATCCCGAGAGGGCGAGAGCTTATAGCTCCTCGGGCGGTTAAAAAATGTTTACGTCATGCATATTCATCCGAGATGAGCCTGGGGGGGGGGGTAGAGAATGGCCAGCCCGAGGTTACACGTTATTATTGTACACACACGTTACGCGATGGATTAATATGCATATAGAGCACCAAGTTACCGCTGCGCTATGTATATATATATACATATATTTCATGTACAAAGGGTGTAGGAGCGAAGGAGGAGGAATCTCGACTTTTCGCGGTAAACGTACAACAACAAGGAGAAGTGGGCCCCCCCCCCCTCGTCAAAGGAATTCAATTTAACTTTGGGCGGGGGAGCGTGCACGCGGGTCGAAATTTATTGGCTCGATGGACAACGATTGCGAAACCCGGGGATGCATCGCAGCGTCCATTATTCGCGCTCGAGAGATTATTATTGCCGATGCCCCGCAACCATATGTGTAGGTACTGCTCCGTCTTTGAATCCACCCACCCATGAGATACAAAATCGTGAAAATCAGGACGTATCGTGTGTAGCTCGTCAACCCTAAGGCCATAGTTTATAAATAATAATAATAATAATATAAAGAGGTGCGAGAGCAATGGGTGCGAATGGAGTCTCACCGAGAACGACGAGCTTGACGGGCCGGCCGACCAGCAGCTTCTCCCGATCGTCCTCGAATTGGCAGGTCCAGACGCCGTCGTCCTCGAGCCTCACGTTGTCGATGTGCAGCGCAGCGGTCGACGAGTCCCCGATGTACCTGTGCCCCGTGCCGCTCATTTCCGTCCTCGTGTCTATGGTTATCATGTCGACCGGGCCATTGTCGTGCAACCAACTCGCCGGCCGCACCCTGTAGCTCCTACTACCAGACCCATGGAATTCAACAACATTAGCATCGTTTTTGTTGTCGGTCGGAAAGTTACGAGTGCCAACAACGAAAGCTCTCGCACGGTGCAAGTGGAAATAATTGTGAATACATATATACAGTTAAATAAAGAAAAGTTGGGGCTGGGTGATTCCAGCGAGGAATCGAGAATGAGAGGTACGTGTATAATAAAACATAGGTATAGCCTATAGTGTAAGGAGAAATGTGAGAAGTATACCTGGCGGTTGGTGTGAGTAGCCTGGAGTGGTTGCCCTCGAGCTCGCAGGGCAGGACGACTTTGCTGAGGGGCTTGACGACGAGCTCGATCGGCGGCTGAGTGGCCAACGTCGACAGCGATATGGTGTCACCCGAGCCATTGTTGCCCGTCCTCCACTCGTTGCGCGCCTGCACCAGCGCCTCGGCCACCGCGTCTTCGTCATTAGCACCGCCACCGGCCCTCAACGTCAATGCACCCACGCTCGAGGCTGCCTCGGCTCCTGTACCGCCGGGCGTCGATACCACCGAGCTCGTCAGCGTCGCCCAAGTCGTCGACGTCGTCCTTTTGCTCCGCTTGGCAAAGACACTCTCCTGCTTATTGCCGTTACGTAACGTGAAGACACTCGCCTCGTTAACCGCCGACGAACCTGCGACACACAGAAAAGGAAATTTCGGTTTAACGAGCTGTCGGTTGTACTCCACGGGGAAATAGCTTATTCTAGCGTTAGCGTACACGCAAGGGGGGAAAAAGGGTTGGGCAATTTACCGGAGTTTTGTTGGGCTTCGTGGTGTTGGACCGGTTATTAGCTTTCGGTGATGGACAAAGGTATACTTTTTACGGTATACGAGCGACACCTCGGAGAGGAATAATTTACAAATGGAAATTCTCAAACGATTATATAGCTTTTGACGAGCGGCAAAACAAAGATTTTCACGGTACAAAATACGCGCTTCGCGTAGTAACTAACGTACTTTGTGCGCGCGATAAAGTACATCAGCGCTTCCGATAAAAGCCGCTCCTCGAAGAGAGGCACGATCGAATTACCAACTGATTGAGCCTTTGCCATCTCGGGCACGTTCATTATTACACCAGTCGAGACCCTTTCAGGCGATATTTCCAGCTACGCGGGGCTACGTGAGAAGAAATTTTATCTGAAGAAAACGCATCATCCGCGGGATATTCCACACCTACTCGCGAGTATAGGTACCTGATAAAGTCACACCCCATGGGGTATACAATTTTGGTAAACAATTCGAGCTTCGTTTCTCGCGCTCAACAAAACATTTAAATATTAATAACAACAATGTATACAGCAGCGAGAAATTCGCACTTTCGCCGGATGAGCCCATTCAAGAGTCGTGCACTCATCAGCCGGGCATTGTCACAAAAACTTCCGTGGGACGAGGGGTAAAACAAAACAAAATCAAGCGACGCTTGTCTGGGTGAAAAGCTAATCATGCCCACACCTACGAGATCTCGATGAGCCGCGACCGCGTCGTATGAGGTATGTCCTCGAAGAGGCACCTAACGAGGCACGACCAACTTTTGCATAATATATATTACATACATACGGATCGTGAAGTTTACACGGTCGTAGGCGAGAACAACGGGGTCCGGCACAAACGCGGAGAAGCTCTTTGCGCGTAAAGGTCTGATTGCAGGAGGAGGAGGATGCGTCAGTCGAGCTTTTGTACGTCCCTCCGTGTCTCCTCGACTTGGCGAGCAGCTCAAACAAGGAGCCTTTGGTCTTCGCGCGTGTGTACCCAGCGCGGAGAGTCTTTTAGGAGGAATTCGATACGAGGACGGGATTGGGGCTCTTTTTTGCCCCCTTGTTTTTTACACGGGGAAACGGATCCACGTGAAATAGAGCCGAGCGCCCACGGATCCATTATTCGCGGCAAATAAGCGCGAGGGATCCCTCGGACGCTGCGGACCGGGTATTTGCTTTTAATTTACCCAAATCCGAGATAAGACGGGCAATGGGGGAAGAACTCGCGCAAAAATCCGAGGCAAGCACACCCGCGCGCACGAGAGAGTGGAGCTTTGATTTTGTCGGGGTGGGGCTGGGAGAAAGCCGTGGTGGTTTCTCATTTCCGTCGCGAGTTACTGAAAAAAAGGACTGCATTCGGGGGTCGGTAGCGCGAAAAAAGTAGGCCAACCGAGAGGGATGGCATCGCGGAGCTTGTTATTCCAACGAGTTGGCGCTGCCACTTTACGGACGCGTCCATGGGCCGCTTCCCCCCCCCCCTTTATTTTCATCACAGCCAGTTGTGCAGCTACATTTACATCTGTGCAAATAAACGCAAATCAACCAAAGCTCCGGAAACACGGGTAACATGTATCATATCTGCGACTTGTGATATATGTATCGCGGAGGTGTAATCAAACGAGCGGCGATATTGTTATGCAATATACACAACGGGTGTCTATAACATATTGTTATCCGTAACAGTGGGAGGTACAGTACACTGTATAACGCACAGTCTCATCAGTGCACGCGGGCGCCACTCCCCCCTTGCATCTCGGCCCTTTTCACGTACGTCCGCAAACTCTCACCCCTTGCATATTCTTGCTCACCGGCGCGCCTAGCTCTAAAACCAGCCGGCGAGGCTATGCGCTACCGTATACGTTATTCGAGGCTCGACGCATGCATTACTCAGGCACACCGGGGTATGGGGCGCGCGAGAGTGTGTGTGCACGCGCTTGCTTATCCACACACTCGTACGCCACCTTTATGCATGTATATATTATATCCATTCATTATTCATGCGGTGATCAATGGATGTCAGCAGAACTCGCTCCGTCTGTAGGTACTGTATGTGTTGTACGTAAGTAGGTGCGAGCTGAGAGTGAGAAAGGCGCGACCGCAACCACAGCGGTGTATTTCGAGCTGGAGGAAAAAAAAAAAAAAAAAAAAAAAAAACTACCTTTCCGATGATTTGCGGTAACCGCGCGCTTCTTTGATTATTGCAGTGACGTGCAATCCAAGGTGTACAGCCGCGAGACCTATGTCGAACGTGAAATCGTGCGCTGACTGGTCCATTCATTTATTTAAAATAAATTAAATAACACAAGCGCCACCGTGCAAGTTTGTCCCAAAGTTCCGTACAGGCCAGGGGGTGCAATTTGCAAGGGGCACTTTCCCCGTAGTTTCGGCCTCCCTCGCGCTCTTGATCCTTTGAGAAGTGGATTTGGCGTTGCTCCTCGTCGCTGTAACAACCACCATCACCACCAACCCCGTGGTCCCCGACTATTACCCGTACGACCGCTGCTACCGCGCCGCCTGATCCTTTGCCCAAGAAAATCCACTTTGTCGAACAACCCGCCCCGTCCCGCGCTCTCTCGACCTCTTTGAAAGTATATGCACAGGAGTTTACCCTACCTCCTCTACAGTGGCAGCTTGTTTGGTTTTTCTTTTCTTCGAGCAAATATGCGTGTGTGTGGCTCTCGCGACAAAATACATACTCTCGCGTCCTCCGTCGGGGGGGATTTTCTCGGGGTGTACTTTACTTACGGATGTTTGATGTGCTTTTGGAATTCCTTCTCAAACGGGCGTGCTTTTGCACGGAGAGAGAGAGAGCTGATGGCAAAGAAGACAGTATTTTTTCAAAAGAAGGGTACTTTAGCTCGGGGGTAGGGGGAGAAAATGGAACAAAAACGAATCCAGGAGCAGCTCTCTCGGTGGGCGCTACGTGGCTACGTGTCACTTTGAGAAACTTTTCCGGGGGGTGGAAGAAAAAAATTTTCCACCGGACACGTATCCCGCCGCTGGTGGTTCTGCCAAAAAAAAAAAAAAAAAAAAAGTGACGCCGTCCGATCCTTTCGTACCTGCGGTATACATACCCACCCGAAGCGATAAAGATCTGGATGCAGGGTCGGGAAGAGTGGGCATCACGTAGCGAGGAGAGGAAGAGAAAAAAAAAAAAAAATGAAAATAGAACGGGAGGGGACGCCGCCGTCCCGGGAAATCTATCTTTCACCGCGGATTCCCGGCACGAACGCCTCTGATGGCGAGGAGTGATTCTTGGGGTGGACGGAGGGTCCCCCCTCGCATAATCCCTTGCCGGTGCGGTGCACGCACGCGACTCTGCACGCTCTAATTCCGATAGCGCTCTCCTGGCCGATAAGGGATCTCCTCCTGTAGTTGCCTCTTGGATATGCGAGTCGACGCTCGCCTTTACCTCTCGATCGGGAGCCGGACATTTCTCAAATTGAAATTTCACTTCCCCACCTCCGCCGAGAACGGGATCGGGGGGCGAAAACTCGGCTTTCATCTTTTCCTTCTGTAGTTACATCGTTGACATATCGGAGCGTCCCTACGTGAGTGCTCCGATATTTTGGGATCAAATTAGTATTCACGAGGACCGAGGCATCAGTGGAGTTGCGTGGCACACCAATCGCTGATTGCGCTCGTTTGGACCGCGTCTGATAAAGATTCGCGCGCACGTGCGGTGCTGATTAGCGCCGGTAACTGGGCTGGACTGCTGGAGGGGTGTTTGTGGTAATCAATTTGAGAACACTACTTTTATCATTTATATTTTTTGTATTTTTTTTTTTTTTTTATATCTTTTGGGACTACTTTTTTAATAAATGTACGGGTGTACTAAAAAAAAGTTTTATGGCATATGAGAGGATTAGCATTAACATAAAAAAGTAGGGTGTTTGTAAATAAACGAGATTTTATCGAGTTCCTTTAATTTATTGTGGATTGTTTCCACCAGGTTTATAAACAATGCGGATCTCTAATTAATATTGTGCGACTGCTGGTTGAGTTCACCTCGAAAAGAGGAGCATTTTTGAAATTCACTCAAGCAACTTGAAACGACTACTCGCAATCGACGCGCAAAATGTTTACGTCCAAACAAACAAGCGCTTCGACAGCGAATCCATCACCCTGGAATCACAAAAGTCCGCTCGTCCAATCGCCATTTCCCTAAAAAAAAACAAACACGAAAAAAAAAAAATCTCTCGCTTCCACGAAACAAAATCAAAACACGCGAAAAACGATAGTTTTTTGCTGAAAAAACAAAAAAAAAGAAAAAGAAAAAAAATCCATCCACCGGTGATTTCGTGAAAAACAAAGTGCGTAATCTCACGAGCGCCGTCAAATGCACGCGCGGGTTCGTTTGAAAACTTTGGAAAAGTAATTTTTTCCCTAAACAAGCAAAACTGTACGGGCGCGTCGTCGTGACGGCGTGTACACACATCCCAGGTAGGAAAGCCTGATCCCTTCGGATGCGTGTCCCTTTTTTTGTCAAACATTCAAACTCACCTGAGTCCCCCCCCTCCGCTTGGCGGCTTTGTCGGACACGAGCTTTTACCAAAACAAATGGCCCAGAGCTACGACTCGTTGAGCAAACTCCAACTTGGCCACGACAACATTGTTTTTTAATTTTTTTTTTTTCATCGGTTCATTTTCAAGTTTTTCGATACAACAATTTATTTAATAAGACTCTTTCATTCGATGGGCAAGCACTCCAATTACTACGAGAATTGAAGCACCAATCGATGGAACACGCAAAAAAATTTGAGGAACAGGGTGTCGTGAAAAAAAAAAAAAAAAAAGAAACAAAAATACGCGAGGTCACTCGTCAAATTCCTCAAATTCGAAACGAGAGGTTGTACCATTGAAGTATCCATTGAAAA